ATTGTGACTCGTAACATGTTCTTTCAATTGCTCCATAGAGGTTCCTGCTCCCAAATTTCCCACATAGAACCATGACTGTTTGGTAGCTGCAGTCAAGCCACTGCTATTTTTCTTTGCTCCCTTGATTCCCTGTTTTGAGCTGCTAGCACATTCTCCACGACTATCCAATTTCTGTTTAGCCAGGTTTTTCGAGGATTTTTGATTTGAGTTATGAGCCATGATTTTTTCAGTAGCATTTGCAGTTGCATTTCTAACAGTATCGAGGTTAATAAAGTTTATTTATTTATTTATTTATTATTTATGTTTTCTCGCTACTGCAAGAATCGTTGGAAATACGCCTGTAGCTACACGGTTTAAACAAAAATCCAACGGATGAACGTTCAAAATTATTTGTGTTGGTCCAAACTACAACCCTGTTTATGTAAAACAGAATAATACTTCGAATTTCCGCAAAAAAAAGAAAAAACTTTCCATCACACAATTTAATCAAATGCAAATTTCTGTTTTTTTTTGACTATCAAGTTAGGGCACACTATAGGGGCGACAGTACTGACATCTCGCGTTGCTGTAATAAACTATATGCCTGACTTTAAACCTTAATAGTAATTTTTCTACAAACGTGTTAAAAATGCAATTTTTAACACCCCCTCGAAGCATTAAAAATGTTACTTTATTGCACTAGTGTTAAAAGTCTTTAAGGCACTAGTGTTAAAAATGAAACATCAAAATTTGAAAGCAAACGTCAAAAAAAGTTTTTATTTTTAATTATTTACATTAATATTAATGGTAAAATTTGAACAACTGAGGAAGCTCCATTGGCCGCCTCCTCTATATTTTTCAAGGGATTGATGCAACCCTCTTTTTCTTGTGTATTTTGTTGCATTTTTAGCAAAAAGCTTACTGACCACGATAGACCATACGACAGACTTTCAAGAATCTGACGAGACATTTCATTACCTGTAAAACAAGGTGCTGGTTGTTTGAATTTTTTGACAAATATCAAATTCGATAATTTTACGTAGGAAAGATGCTTCCAATTTATTATTCATTTAAAAATCCAATTTGTCACTGGTTATTGCTTGTTATTGCCGTTTGTAGAAAAAATATTGTATGATATTTGTGTTAAAAGTATTTTTAAGGCACTTATGTGAATTGCAGAATTCGCTTCGCTCATTCTGCAAACTTTCACATGCGTGCCTTAAAAATGTACTTTTAACACTTATATCATAAATAGCTATTTTAAAACATTTATTATTTTAATTTGAAAATAGTTATTTATAGTCCGACAAATACCATTTAAAAGTCACGTGATACTGGTGGCAAAAAACGTATGTCCATTGATTATGTCGTTGATATCACCTACAAAAAGCTACTGGTGGTTAATTACTAATGAATTTTAATATACAGGGTGTCCGGAAAGTCAACGATAATACTGAAAGGGCTGATGGAGCATCTCATTAGCATCCAGAAAAACATAATATGACCTTAGTAAAAAATCGATGGTTTCCGAGATATTGTCACTTTATTAAAATTCGTTAAAATCGTCCTCTTGGATCAGATTTTCGAGTGTCACCTTGAAATTTTCATTATTCTCAGATTCTGAATTCTGTTTTGTAATGGTGAATAGATATTTCATTTGTCATAGACCAACACTAAAAGTCAAAGCTCAAAACATTTGCTGATGATCTGAAGATCGGCGTGTCTGTGGTCTCAATGAATGATTGTCACATTTTACAACATAATTTAAATACTTGGTGTGATAGAAAGAAATTGTACCTTAACGTTTCTAAATGTAATATAGTCAGTTTTCATCGGATTAAGGAGCCTGTAATGTTTGACTACACCATTGGGGACTCTGTGCTTAATAGGCTTGATGAGATTAAAGATCTTGGTATGATATTTGATTACCAGCTTACATTTAATTCACATATTCATAATGTCTCAACTAGATCATCCAAGGTGCTTGGCTTTATTATTAGAAATAGTAAATATTTTACTAATCCAAGTACGCTTAGGCTTCTATACTATACCTTTGTTCGGTCAAAACTTGATTACGGCTCCATACTATGGAACCCAATATATAATTTTTACGCCAATGCAGCCGAGTCTATTCAGAAGCGTTTTCTTAAGTACCTCCATTTCAAAAGACATGGTTCCTATCCCGATAGAGGTTTTGACCATACTGTGTTACTTTTGGAGTTTGATGAAGTGTCTTTGGCTCAGAGACGAAGGCTCCAAGTTGTCAAGTTTCTGTATAACCTCTTGCATGGTAAAATAGACTGTCCAAATCTTGTTGAGAGCATTTATTACAGGGTCCCCAGGCTGGTGGGTAGGTATAATGAGACATTTTATTTGCACACTGCCAGAACCAACATGTTATACAGAAGTCCTTTATATTTTATGTGCAGAGTTTTTAATGAGGTTTCTGAACACTGTGACGTGAATGTCGATTCTATACAATCAATAATTCAGGCTGTACTGAATGTTTAGATTTTTGCTTGACTTGCTTACCTTCTCTTTTTTTTTTTGTTACAATTGTTACACTATACTTTGATTTTGTTTGCTGTTATCCTGCCTTAATTATAGTTTACTCGCATCTACTTGAACACCATTTTTGTGTCTACCTGCTCTAATTTTTGTTTTTTTTATTTTGTTTTTTTACTTTATAGATTTGTTTGTTTGTTATTTTTATTTCATTTTTTTTTGTACTTGTTCCTGTAATTGGGATTATTCCTGTTGGAAATAAAGACTTATTTATGAGCGTAAGTTGACATTTCTGGCGTAATCACGTGATAATATAGTGTAATTTGATTGGTAAAATATCCAACATGGCGAATATTTTACCAATAAAACCCAACCATTTTATTACGTGATTACGCCAGAAATGTCAACTGACGCTCATAAGAACTCGCCCTAAGGACCCAGGGCTGGAACTCTGGATAGGATAGCAATCGTTATCTTTATCACTATGGAACTTGCTGTCTGCTTCTCTTTTGTCGAAATCGATAGAGAGGAGACATCAATAATAGAGATAGATCTCTCTATTCGTTACAGAGTCCCAACGCAGGTGTCTTTTATTCATCCATGACAAGAAAAATCACATTAGTTGGTCTAACTTTTAAAATGGATTTCGCAAACTGTAAAATCTGTACCTCTGAATCCAAAAAATCTATCTGGCAACGTTGTACGATCCAATATACAGTGTGTCCTGCTTAAGGACTGACTACCCTTCTAAATTTTTAATTTTTCAACCGATTCAATTAATTTTTTTTTGTCCTATATCTACTCGAATTTAGCACTCATTAGACTCATAATTTTATTTCTGCGGCTGTCCACATTTATAGGCTCAAATTTCAATAAGTACTACTAGGTATTTTTTTAGAGAAAATCTGATAGCACTGATACCAAATTCTTGTTAAGAATGGTCTAAAACCCAAATGTACTAATTTTTGTTTCAATACCGAATACGATACAGGGTGATGATAAGAAATTTTCACAATTTAATGAATCAAACCGCAAAAATGTTATATTTTATTTTGAGACAAGCTTATTGCAAGTTTTGGTTAAGGATGTTCTAAAACTATGTTGTATCAAGTTTTGTTGTTCTCAAGGCCTCGAAATATGACATTTTTACGGTTTGGTTCATTAAATTTTGAAAATTTATTGTGATCACCCTGTATCGTATTGAAACAAAAATTAGTACATCTGGGTTTTAGACCATTCTAAACCAATGACTGCTATCAGATTTTCTCTGAAAAAATCCCTAATAGTACTTATTGAAATTTGAGCCTATAAATGTGGACACCCTGTACACCAGTACAGCCGCAGAAATGAAATTATGAGCCAAATAAGTGCCAAATTCGAGTAGGTAAGGGACAAAAAAAAAAATGAATTGAATCGGTTGAAAAATAAAATTTTTAGAAGGGTGGTCATTCCTTTGAGTTGAGTGGGACAATCTGTAGGTGGAAATATTCAAGATGTTGCCAATTTTACCACACTATGTTATTCTAATACCTTTGTTAAGAGTAACTTTATACCATTTTAACTACTTTTCTGGGGTTCCTTGAAGGGTCCCCCATGACATATTGGGGAGCTTATACGCCATTTTGGAATCACCCGGTATAAAAAAAAAAAAAATTGTAAATTTAAATCTTTTTTTATACACTACTAGCAAAATTTCATCCAGTCAATTGAAATTTTTCCTCAAAAAAAAGAAAAAGTCCCTCAACATACAGGGTGTCACAATTTCTCGAATAAGTACGGGGATCTCGGTTATCATGAGAGATAGAGGGTCAGTTAAATTGGGGCAGAGTTACGCAATTTCTTCTTTGTTGCTTACCAAAATGCCGTTCCAAGAACTAAATAAAAAATCCAGAGTTGTATTTCAAAAAATAAAGTTGATGATGGCGGCCCAATGACGAAACGACGGATTTAAAATTTGATAATGCCATATTGTAGAGCAGAAAAAGTGGCAATGATGAAGTGTCATTTGTTTCAAAGTATCTCTTTAAATAATTGAAATAAGCTTATGAAATATAAGAACGATTTTGCAAAATTTCGTTTTTTTCCGAATATCTTCGGAAGCACAGAGTTTACTAAAAGTAATGGGACGGTCAATTTAGTTATGACGTCGAAAATGGTAACACCCAATATGGTGTCGATTACCAAAAACAAGTCTGATAAGCAATCCTTGTATCAGGTGCCACGCCTTGATGTTGCTACATTTTTAAACGTAAAAATACAGTATTTTTGTGGCAGCCTGGGGGGGAGGGCTGGCTCGATAGCCCCCCCCCTGGGTGTGCCACTGGATCCAACCGTGTCGTACAACTTGTTAGACGACAGCGCCACACATTATGCAATTATCGTTTCGACGGTTGAATCTACTTGGGTTGTACAAGTTGGCATACAACTAATTGCATAGTGTATGGGCCGTTTTAGGGCTTACTAATCTATATCTGATTTTCCTTTTTGATTAATCTTCACCCTTTCTTCCTTTTTAGATTCATGAATTCAACGATTTCTGCTGGGAAAAGTGCGTCGAAAAGGCCTCGAATAAGCTAGACAGCAAAACGGAAACTTGCCTTACAAACTGCGTGGATCGTTTCATCGACGTGTCGCTGCTCATCACGAATCGGTTCGCTCAATTGTTGCAAAAAAGTGGCGGCATGTGAATAATTTTATAGTTTTTTCTAGTTTAGGTTTTTGTATATTGTTATTATTTGTACACGAATAATTGATCAATAAATATGTAGTTGAATGTTGAATTAATTTTAGTTGTTCTTATTGATTTTTATCGGTTCATGAACCAATGAACAAAGCGATTATCAATCCTAGTCAACCTTCTAACTCCAATTGATCGATTATATTCTGCATTGAAGTTAGTTAATAAATGAAACTTGCTTGTAACCTCAGAGGAATAAAAAACAATAGAGGCCGTTATTTACATTTTGACGAGGTGCCAGTGAGAAAGCATAATCTTAGTCTTAACGATCAAGTCTAAACGCCATCCTAAACGAATCAACATGTTGCCAATTATATTTTGGAAAAAAACCTTCACTGGACTTCTTGTCGAATAAATAGGGAAAAAATGCCTTTTTAAATGCAAATAAACTGAGTAACTAGAAAAACTCCTCAATGCAGATTTTTGATAATTTCAAATTGTTTGTTTTAGTAAAAAAGAAGCTTAGAAAATATTGTTATTATTCAAGTATCCTTATTTATTTTTCAACGTGACAACATCGCATAGTGAAACGGCGTCAAAGCTGACAGTTATAAAATGTATGAAAAATTAGATTATTTGAACCCAGAAATTTCATTTCATAGGTAATAGGGTTATATTATGATAGCAAAGCAGTGGTAGGGTTGCCAACTTCGTTTTTCAATTTTTCTGGACGAGGGTATCAAAATATCAGGACATCCGGTATAAATTCTGGACATTTTTATTATTGCAGAGAAAAATACCATTTACAAACAAAATGTTCATGTTGTTCATTTACAACGTGAACATTTTGGGTTAATTTTCTTCGTCTTTCCATCCATAGACGCGTTTCGATCTACCAGATCTCATCAGTGTGGTTAGGAAAGCAAATAAACCCAACCCAAGTTTAGTGCCTGTAGGCAAAGTAGAAGTAGTACGAAGTACCTACGGGCTGAATCCTAGTATTAGATTGCGCCACGACCAAAATTCGCTCTTCGTAATAAATAAGCAATTCGACAAAAAAAGAACATACTGATACACTACAAGAATTAGGCAATCCAACGACCTGTCCAAATGGCGTCTGGTTGGCAAACAATAAACAAAAAACATATGTTTTTTTTTTGGCAGGATTAAGCCTAGTACCACAGCCCTGAAATTCGCTCTTTTTTGACATTGCTTCGACAATTTGACGTTTTATGCGTGAATCAAACGTCAAATTGTCGAAGCAATGTCAAAAAAGAGCGAATTTCGCGGTTATAAGTAGTACTAGGCTTTAGGCGTATTTTAGCGACCAGTGAACATCATACTACACATACTACGATTCATGACGTCATAGTTACCCAAATAACAGCTGGAGTGTATTTGACAAAGGGTCTAAAAGAGGACGCTATGATTGTTGTTTATTTGGGTTTGTTGAATTTTACAAAATTTTGCGTTTTCGAGTTTTAATATTATTTCTCCAGTGAAGATTTTCGAATATTTTCGATAGATTGTGGTATTTTTGAATTTTATGGGGACCCCATGATAAAACAATAAATGAAATTACATTTTTGTGCACAAGTGAAGATTTTTTTTTTTTGCAAAAAACCTCTAATAAAATCACAGAAAACCATGGAAAAATGCGAAAAAACAATCCTCTATTTATAATAGAAAGAACCTGTTTCGGTAGTCGTAGTCAGCTGTTTTGCCCAATATGCTCATTTTAGTCATTTTCGTGTATTAGAAAAAGATGCACTGACATACTACAACCAGTAACTATCCTTCGTAGGATGGTTACATGTTTACAGCCGAGTTTTATGTTGTGACGTCATAGTATGTCAGCCATGATCGCTAAAATGTAGTATCCCAATAGTCCAGGAGGTGGCGCCAAAAACATGCAAGAGTTTTCGCAAGGCGGATATTTTCAAAATAGGTCGTACTTTAGTGCTAGAATGCTAGTGTACAGTCAGCACTCACAGTTCCGGGACAGCTGGCTCTGGGATGCGGGCAAAGTTGTAATTTTAAGAAGCATCTAAACTGTTTTCTCAAAGCTCAAAATTTATAGAAATTTTGCACATTATCTGTTTGAAGGTCACAGATAACGTATGTAAATCGTCAGACGTCTAGTTCGTTGCAAAAAGGGGGTCAGACATCCTCAAAGTTTTTATTTTATGGCATTCAAAATGCCGGCTGGTTGGCAAAAGTCACGTGGTTTGGATTCCCTAATTCTTTGGGTAAATAGGAACTAATTAACAAATTATTTAAAGAGTATAAAAAGTTAAGTTCAGGGTACTTTTTTTCCACTTTTTGCAGCTACCATAAACTTCTTGTTACCTCTCACAAAATCATGAAATTCTTTGCAAGTACCATCGTCACCAAAAATATCTGGGACACAAATAATGCATAATAATCTCCTGGACTAATTCTACTGTCATTCATTTCAATGCATTTGATTCATAGTTTGACAAATTTGACAATAAAATTCATGTAATAGGACACAGGGTTGCCAGATCTTTGAAATGAAAAAGCAGGACTGATGTTATCCAGAGGGAACTGATTTTTTTTCGGGTGCCACGCCCAAAATGTAGCGCAATGGATATTGCCAGCAAAGAAATAATAATCCAGACAACTTTTAACTAGGTTTTTTATTGAAAAATAAGAAAAATATTCTTGGAGGCAAAAACATTCAACAGCCAACTGACTGCCCTGCTCCCTCCAAACGAGGTACTTGACTTGACTTACACCAGCTGTTTTTTAAATTCAAATTGACATATGTGCAGTGTTGTCAGCTTTAACTAATATTAAATTCACAAAACAAATTTATTGTTATCAGAGCAACTAGCAACACGCCCCCTCAATAAAATTATTTTGTAACCTTACATTTTGAACCCAAACTCCTACCTTAACCATTTTAAGAAAATAAACTGTTAACTTTAATTATTAAGGCACAAATCATTTAAAAAATTCAAAATTTTGACTCTTGCCAGTGGTTTGGTGAATATGTCAGCTACTTGATCTTGAGTATTGATATATGATATATTCACCAAGCCCTGCTCAATCTTTTCTTTAATAAAGAAAAACTTTATGTCTAAATGTTTTAATCTTCTGTTATTTTCAGGATTATTTGCGATACTTATTGCTGATTGATTATCCTCGTAAATAGTGACTGGACATTCTATTTGAATATTAAAATCCATCAAAAGCTTCCTCAACCAACAGGCTTCACCAACAGCAATAGATAAAGCAATATATTCAGATTCCGTTGAGGAAATTGACACACTCTGTTGTTTTTTACTGGCCCATAAAACAGGACAATTGAAGATTTTAAAGAGATATCCTGTAGTTGATTTTCTATCGACTATGTCACCTCCCCAATCAGAATCCACATAACCACATAATACATTGTCACTATCGGTACAGTATTTCAGTTTTAGGTACAAGGTCCCCTTGATATAACGAAGGACTCTCTTAAGTGCCACAAACAGACTTTCATTTGCTGTTTCCAAAAAACGACTCAGAACTGTTACACTATATGATAAATCTGGCCGTGTACCTAGAACCGCATACATTAAACTTCCTATTATTTGTCTACACAATTTAATGTAATCTTCATTGCCACTATCATTTCTGAAAATATTAAAATCGAAATTTACATCTAAGGGGGTGCTTACGGATTTGCAATCTAACATTCCGAATTTTTGAAGAACTTTTGTGAAACTTGAATCCCCAAATAATTATGAACTATGCCTAAATCTTTCATCTCAAAATTTCTATTGAATTCATGTTTTAGATCATTAACTTCATTTAAATTTGTCCCCATAATTAATAAGTCATCTACATACAGTAATACATAAATTTTTGACTGATTATTACATTTAGAATAAAGGCAAAAATCATTTTGTGATCTGTCAAAGCCCAAATTTAACATTAAAGTATCAAATCTGCTGTTCCAGTATTTTGGGGATTTTTTCAATCCATAAATGGATTTATTCAATTTACAAACAGTGTTTAATTCATTATTTTTGGTCACATTAGGTAAAGACATATAAATTTCATCTTTAATTTCCCCATATAAAAAAGCACCTTGTACATCCATCTGATAAACTGGCAATTTGAACTTATTAGCTACTACTACAAGAATTCGAAAGGTACTCACTTTGGCTACCGGAGCATAAATGTCATATAAGTTGTCATCACACTTTTGTTGAAAACCCCTGGCGACCAAACGGGCCTTGTATTGACCGTCATTTTTAATCTTTAGTACCCATTTACTGTCAATTACTTTTTTATTTTCTGGCCATGGCACTTCAGTCCAAGTATTATTTTTTTTCAGAACACTAAGCTCATTTTCAATGGCTTTTTTCCACATTCGCGCACTATCACTATTCATTGCTTCTTCAAATGTTATATTGTCCACTACTGCTGAAAAACAATCGGTGTCATCTCGGGTATCATAGTCCTTTAGCCATAATGGCGGTTTGATTTTTCTTCCTCGTCTATCTGTTTGTATCCTTGATGTCTGAGCTTCATCGTCACTTTCATCTGAGGCTTGATCTGGGGTTTCGTCAAAATTGTTTTCAATGTCATCTTCTCGGTCATCTTCTTGTTTTAGGTCTAAATCTTGGTTGTCTTGGTTCTGGGGATTGATATTTTCTTCTGCTTGTTGATTATCTTCATCTTCACTTTGACTTTCATTGTTGATATCCATTGTAACTAATTTTTCTCTGAATCTGTCATTGTAGTTTTGGTCTTTTTCTTGAAACTTCTGATTTTTTGGAATAAAAACTACATCGCGATGAATTTCTACTTTGTTTCGTAAGTGAAAATAAATTCGGTAACCTTTTACCTCATCGCTGTATCCTACTACAGTACCTATTTCATTTTTGGGGTCTAGCTTTCTCCGTTTCTCCTTAGGAATATGTATTGACACTTCTGCACCAAAGTTTTTCAACAAACTTAGGTCAAAACTTCTATTAGACCATAATGTATATGGGCTCACATTTTTAACTGAGCTTTTTCCAACCCGATTCAAAACAAAGGCAGCTGTGTTGATGGCTTCCGCCCAAAATATTTTATTCATTGAGCTATTATGAA